TAAATATGTAACAGAGGAATGGTTTACAAAGTATATAACATGTTTACAAACAGTGCTCCAAAGTTTTGGCTCAGAGCCAGCTAAGTTTAATATGAACTAACAACTTTCAAATTATACCTACTTGTAACACTTTCAATGCCATGGGAATTGTAACACATCATAGTGAACTTGTAAGAATTTATAGCATTTTATGTGTTTAATAGTTACACAAAAAAATACACCCTTTCATATATTGGTTTACAGTGTTACAAGAAGTACAGTTAACATTTTATTACTGATTGTATATTTATGTTATTACTTTTGACATTTTACATTTTTTTATCATTTCTTAACACTAAAACAATACTTTAGTAGTTTGGTTACATTAAGACTCTTTGTTTTATCATAATTACTATAAATTTAAATTTGTCTGTGCAATACAACTGCAGACAAAATTTTTGGGATGGTAAATTTCTTTTATCTGTTACTTCTATTTAATTAAATAATCCCTAGATGTTAATATTCCCTTCACTATACTGTAGACTGAAAGTTTTAATATCTGTAACTCACAACTGCTTTATTAACAAGAAACTGAGCTGTTAAAAAAGAACTGAATAAAAAAACCAACTCAAGGCTTTGTTCTCTTTGTTAAGTTGAAAATGTAAGTGCAAGATCAAGGATGTATCTTTGTTTTGTTTCATAAATACTAGACATAAATGTAATTATATCTGGTAACATATTAAACCACAAACCAATACATATATTTTTTTACTTCTTAGTATATGCAATGCCTAAGTTAAAATATCTTCAGATTAATAATAAATGAAAGAATCAATACTTTTAGAATGAACATAATTTATGTTTTAATGGTTACTATAAGATTTGTAGTATTTAAAAAACAATAAACTTGAAATTACAAACTAAACTCAATTTGAACCTGATAATGCAATGAAATGTTACAAAATCAAATTATCAATTAACAATGATAATAGACAGCACATTAATGTTTTTAAATCTATAATTGCAATATTCTTACCTGATCTGTGCAGTCATAAACAATGATGATTCCATGTGCACCTCTGTAGTATGATGATGTGATTGTTCTAAACCGCTCCTGCCCTGCTGTGTCCCATATTTGTAACTTTATTGTCTTCCCGTCTAATTCTACAGTCCGGATTTTAAAATCTACACCAATAGTACTGATGTAGCTCTCTGTGTATGTGTCATCAGCAAACCTGAGCAGTAGGCAAGATTTGCCCACTCCAGAGTCACCAATTAGGAGAAGTTTGAACAAATAGTCGCTGAAAGTAACAAAATATTTCACTTTAATGGAGAAAAAGAGATTTAAAGTCAAAGGATACAGTTATATACCATATAGGAAGCGATTGTACCCAAATGGTATCGGCTGTCTAATCAAATGCGTAAATAAACAAGAGTGAGGACACAAATCATTTGTTCCAAGGAGGCGTATCTTTGTTACATTAAACAAAGGAGATTTTCGATCAATATTGAAATGTTTGTTATATTTATAGTATTGACACTTTCACAACAAAGGAAGTAGGGTGATCTTATACGATGGTAGATTGTACGCCATTCACGTAGACTTTTACAATTACGTTTCGATACACCCCGTACCATGAACGTAATGAGTCACCAGTTCAATTTTATTATTACTTTATTATTCTTCTAGTAAATGCCAAATGATAGTAGCCAAAACACATTTATACTCACTGCTACTTATTTGTACAACTTAAATGTGCTAAATCACAAATTTTCGCCCATCCTTGATTTACAAGATCACGAAAGAAAAAAGCAATACTTACTATTCTGGATTCATTATCACAGTACAAATATATTCCAACTGAAAATTATAATATTATAGATAATACAGAAAATAGTTAATTTCTTTGTTTTAAATATACTTTAATGCGAAACAGCAAAAATTGCAATTTAATACGTAGAATAATGGCTGCCGACACCGAAACACCCACACTGACGTAAGTCAGAAATTCACTTCATGGCAGGAGTGCCACTTGGCAAATAATAATCTGCGTTCTAAATAAGTTATCATTTAAAATCTAAGCACAACTTTATTTTTTCATTAAAAAAAATAATAAAACCACCAGTGGATTTAATATTAAGTGAATTAACTAAAATAATACATTTAGTAGGTTTGTTGTCCGTCCCATTGCGAGTAAAAGAATTTTTTCCCCCATCTTAAAGTAAGATAAAAATAATCTCACAAAGAAGTGTTTTGTTTCAAAGAATTTCGTTTCTATGGTCAATAAAAACTAGTATTTTTTCTTATGTTAATAGCCTGTTTTAAAAAAATCACATATTGTACTGAAGTATTCCAGATCTCGAAAAAAAAGTTGTTTCTACATTTCACACTGTCGAAGTCGCAAGTATCAGCTAGTTCATCTATTTGGCCTTTGCAGAAAGCAAAACTACAAATAATATGGATGTAGGGAAACGTATTTTTACTCATTATTTGGCTTTATCTTTTTTCAAATTATTGCACATAATACCTATTGTACTTACACACTTATTTTCTGCAACCATTTACATATATTTGGAGGACAGGATAATGTAAATAACTGATAACGAAATAATGTTAACGTAATTTTTATTTAATGTAAAACTATATTAGAGAATCTAAAGATTTATTATATACAAAGTAAACAGGTTTTAATAACAAAATAATTCCACAATATGGACTAACGTTAACAATCAACGGGAAACTACAATACATATTATATTTAAACTTATAAAATCATCTCTTGGAGTATGCTTAGTGGGATTTTCCATATACATAGACTTCTGTCCTTGAAACCGGCGATTATCTGAAAAAAAAAAGGTTCCATTACTAGAAATGTTGCGTCTTTAATATAACTGGGTAGATAGATAAGTTTAAGCTAATAGCAATTACTTTGATGCAAATAACAGAAGTAATCAATTATTAACATAACAATCAAATAATCACAAAGAATTGTAAATTGACAACTACATCCAAACATAAAAAAAAAATCAAATCAAGAATGAATTTTAACAACAGTCAGTGTTGCCACCTAACAATAACAAAATTAATTTTACAACGGTTTTTGTAATCCTAAACACAATACAGAAGACCTGTATTTACAGGCTGGGAGCATACCTATTTTAGCAAATACAACAAAAAAAAACATCAGTTTATAGCCGTCATAGTATTTACCTTGGTGCCGAGTATAGCCAGTGAGAGCAGCATGAGGCCGGGGCCTCGAATCTGCGCGAGGGGCCGCGGCGCGCCCTCCC